AGTATGTCTCAATACGTTAAAAAAATACATTTTATCATTATAATTTTTTTGTCAATGTCTTTGAAAACGGTCTAATATTAAATATTTTTTGATTTAATTATATAATTATATTATATATGGAAAAATATTTTTAATACTTATACTTTGCACCCTTGTAGTTAACTATTTAAATGGTACGTCCTTTGCTTTTTTATTTTTTCGTTTTACACTCTTATCACATTAATATACATAATCATATATTAATTAAAATACGTTTTAATTTTGACAAGCTACACCATTATAATCGTCTCGTCAATACCTTTGAAACGATGCCGATATTGAATATTTTTTTTAATTTAATTATAGGTTGATAATCCCAAACTTGAACCCAACATAGGTTCGTAATGGTATAAATATAATAAGATATAAAACATAAAATGATATACATTATGGGTCTGTCATGGGTTTTCATGTACATGAACAAGCACTGTATAAATGTCAATGCATACCCATTCTACTTGATGCGATAGAATTATTTTGGAAAAAACTTGATTTCTCGTCATGCGTATTCGTACAAGATGACGATATTCAGTGTGTAAGAATTTACGAAGCATTGAATTTCTTCCAGAATGGCATCTTTGCACCTGTTATGCATTGGATTGCTATGCTTGAAATGATCATTTTAACCGCTTCAAGGTTCGATGTCATATACTACATGTTCTCAATATAGTAGGCAATATGACGTACTTTTGTTCAGGACACAACCACTGTTATCATCTCAACACGTGACAGTTGTAAAAGTGCATGTTAATAATAACCATTACATAAATGTGGTATTAACCGAGGAATTCTCAATGCCCACATTTACACACCATTGAACATGTTCTCGACTTCAAAATGTAAATACATGGATTGTTTCATATCAACATAAATTTAATGTGTACCAAGAATACATAGAGCGCACTTGTGCTCGCGGATATGTTGATTTAACATGAAAAATATAATTAATTTTATATGAATAATCAAAGTCTTTAAAATATTATAATTTATCGTTATTAATATAAAGTTAAATAATTTAAAATCATAGTATAGATTAAAAATTAGAAATTTATCATATTATATTTGTATACAAATAGATAATTAAAGAATACGTAATCTTAATATCTTGTTAATTAATAATAATATATAATTAATTAATTTATATAATTATTAAAAGAATGTTAATACCTTATTAATTAATAATAATATAAAGTTAAATAATTTAAAATCATAGTATAGATTAAAAATTAGAAATTTATCATATTATATTTGTATACAAATAGATAATTAAAGAATACGTAATCTTAATATCTTGTTAATTAATAATAATATATAATTAATTAATTTATATAATTATAGTATAGGTTGAAAATTAAATACACGAGAGATATAATATGAAAATATTTAAAAGGTCAAAGAGTTAATGTCAAAAATATCAAAGGGTTAAAATTGGAAAATAAAAAAAAAATTATATATTAATGCATTTTATAAAATATTTAAAAAATTGAAAGATTAAAATTAAAATTAAAAATATCAAAAGATTTAAAATAAAAAAATTAAAATTAAATTTTAATGTATTTTATTGTTGTGTGTATGTAGCAAGAGGGTATATAAAAAATAGAGATTTATTTAGAAAGAAGTGGGGATAGAATAACCGTTTAAGAAATGGGGATCACGTTGGCAGTGCCCACCAATCTCATCGGTATCCTCACTCCTTCCCTCTAAATTACAGAATCATGTTATTATATTTTGTTTTTATTTTGGGCATGCCACCATTTTTCATTTCGGCTCCTTATTCATTTTTTTAAAGAGTAAATTACGTTCATGGTCCTTGTGGTATGCAGTATGTTGGACTAAGGTCCCTAAAATGCGTTTATTATACTCCGGGTACTTGTGGTTTGTAAAAACGTAAGTTTTAAGTTCCTCCTTCTAATAAAATATAAAAAGATTTTGTTAACCCTGGTAAGTTAAGAGCTATTTCCGTCTTTTTACCATCTTCTTTTGTCTTTATCGTGATAAAAAAATATATATATAAAATTTATAATAACTTCTTATTACTACTACTATTTTTTTATTTAGTCTTGGCTTTTGTCTTTTAATTGGGCATTTGTCAATGATAGTTGATTTTTTGGCCATTGATCTCCCAGTCTCATGCACTCCTCGTCCGTTGTTGAAAGTTTACAACCATAACTGAAAGAGCTTCCATCCATTGTTATAGAGAAAATAGGAAAGGATAACAAGTAATAAATCTTTCAACCTCTTCCATTAAATAGGTAAGGATAGAGAATAACACTATGACATGATTGGTCCTTAGAACTATAGTATATTACACATTGGTCCATGTACTTATGGCACGATTTGACAACACAATGACAGCTCCAAGGGTAAGTGGCCAAGGTCAGGATTTTTAGACGAATCTTATAAGCTTTTCAAATGAATCAAGTAAGCTTTTCAGACGAATCTATGACAACTCTAGGGGTAAGTGGAAGATTTCTGAGCATAGGGGCAATTTTTTACTATAGGGGGGGAGATCAGGCTTTTCAGAGGAATCTTGTAAGCTTTTATGACGAATATTGTGAGACACGATTTAACAAGTCTATGCCAACTTTATGTCAATATTTGACTACACTATGACAACTTTAGAGGTAGGTGGGTGATTTCTGACCATAGGGGGCGATTTTTTACCATAAGGGGTGATTTTTTTTTTACCATGTGTATGTGTATAAATAGAATGCCTCATGAAATCAAAAATCAAAACTTTATACCAATCATATTTAATCTTCTATAATTATACGTCTTCTTCATGCAAGAAATGGCTGAAACTCAACATCATCAAACTCTCTGTCTTCTTAAATCATGCCTACCAGGATGAAACTATCAATAAAAAAAACTGAAGCGCAGATCAAGGAGATCAGTAATAAGTGTGGAGTAACAAGAAGAGACATAGTAAAATGGAGGACATGATCGAAGAGAAGAAGAAGGCTATAAAGCAGTTGTAAAAAAGAGATTCGAGCTAAGGAAAAACGTGTGAAGGATATAGCCAAAGAGTATCCCATGTTGCAGAAAATGGTCAACGAAAAGCAGTATTGGATTGAATGTTGTAAACAACTTTATACGGAGGGGAATCAGCGTGTATGTTTATGTATTACTGATGTTGTTCTCATTGATGTGTATTAATCATTAAACACCAATCACGGTCTGAGGGGTGGCACACTACCTCATAGCGGTGTTTTGATTATTTTTTAACCTTTATCTGGAAGTTTTCATAAACGCATTTTAATCCTAATGTCAGCTTCAATGCTTCCTTAGAGTCAAAGGTTTGTAGAACGTTTACATGTGATGTAGGTTGATAGGAAAGGTTTCTTCTAGATTCGATAATGGGGGCAGGACAAGGTGTTGGGTCGAGCATACCCCAAAAACTATTCCTTACCAGATGGATTTCTTCATTATCTAAGTTATCGTCTTCGGGTATATTCAAAATTCTTGCTACAACAGAAACATCTTCATCCTTATTTACCTCCCACAGTGTTTCGAAGACTGTATGGGAGGCTGGTTCATCAAATCTTGAACCAAAAAACTATCATCATAAAAATTATTTATCGGTTCAAAAACCTCAGTCGGATGGTTTGAATACTGTTGTTTTGCTATCGGCATCTTCGACACCTGAACAAAATTATCAGGTTCATTCATGACAATAGCACCATGTTGATTAATTTCGGCAACATTGTAGGTATGGGCATCGCTACAACCAGGAAAAAAACTACCGGTTTGATTGATTCCGGGACCAAAATATGAATTTCCATTACTACCGTCTGGGAAGAAACTATTCGGTTGATTTATTCCAAGAAACACTACTAAAAAATCGGGTTTTTCCGACGGCAAAATTCGTCAGAAATCCGTCGGAAAAACAACTTACCGACGGATTTCCGACGGATTTTGCCGTCGAAAAAACCCCCGCCGCTAAATGCCTTTTCCGACGGAATTTCCGACGGATTTGTATTTTCCGACGGATATGTCCGTCGGAAATCCGTCGAAAATTTTTATAATATGTTAGTAATTTTCCGGGTTAATTAGAAGTAATCTAAAATGGGATATGTCCGTCGGAAATCCGTCGGAAATTTTAAAAAAATGTGTTTTTATTTTTTTTCCTAACAAGATGTATATACATATATATAACGGTTTAATTTAAAAAGAAAAATAATAAAAAACATTTTTTATTATTTCCAACGGATTTCCGACGTCGAAAACCCGTCGGAAATTTTAAAAAATGTGTTTTTTTTTCCTTAACTTTAATTTAAAAAGAAAAATAAAAATAAAACATTTTTTAATATTTCCGACGGATTTCCGACGGAATTTAATTTTTTTTTAAATTAAATTCCGTCGGAAATCCGTCGAAAAATAAAAATAAAAAATGTTTTTTTTATTTTTATTTTCCTTAACTTTAATTTAAAAAGAAAAATAAAAATAAAACATTTTTTAATATTTCCGACGGATTTCGGACGGAATTTAATTTTTTTTTTAAATAATAAATTCTGTCAGAAATCCATCGGAAATTGTTTTTAATTAACACTAATTAATTGATTTAAATAAATTAGACAAATTTTGCGATGGATTTCCGACGGATTTGTGACGGTTTTGAATAAGTAAAAAATCCGTCACAAATCCGTTGAAAAACCGTTTTAAATAATTATAATTTTTTTTCCAAAAAATTCAG